ATGGGGTGGATGAGAGAGAAAAAGAGAAAGACCGAGGGGTGGGGGGCAGGAAAGAGCAAGAGTGAATTAGGGAAAGGCGGGCGAGGGGACAGACAGACAGAGAGAGAGAGAGAGTGAGAGAGAGAGAGACACAAAAAAAGGTTTGAGAGATAGAGTGTGAGACTCGTGTTTAAATTCTTGAGACTGCATTTATACTTCATGTCCTGCGCTTTTTGCAAGACAAGTCAAAATGACCTATAATGACAAAAAAACCTTTAAAAAGTTAGATTATTTGTGTTATAGATGATTGTTGGGGCAGAGATAGTGACGATGAGTTGACCATCACAAACAATGTGCCGTTATATTTAATTTTGAGTATAATCATGAAGTATTTATCTCGAATACCTTATTGCAAAAGTGTAAATGTCATTATTCATTTTTCGTTAGATATACATTGAAATCAAAATGAAAATAATAAGAGACAATATATCTTATGATATTTTATTTATTACTGAAATTGTGGAAAAGCTAGGTTAAGTGGCCCGGAGTCACCTGCCCGACCGAGCAAAAAACAATAAAATAAATAAATAAATAAATAAATATTTTTTTACTATTTTGTATTTTGAATTTGGTAAAAAATTTTGATGTGAAGCTGAGGCGAAAGTTGTTCAGTTTATTTTTCTGCAAAACATAGTTTTGTTCCGGATTTTTATTTTTTTTGAGGGGAGGGGGACCTTCTCTGGTCTTTGCACGTGACTGCCCACTCGGGATCGAGGAGGCCGGACTGGACGCCTAATGGAAAAGCCTGAAAAGGTAAAGTGAGAAATATTACCTCTGCAGTAAGCTTGTTAATAGTCTCAGCAAAGGCTTGAAGCTTTCTCCTCACAGCTCCAGTCTTTCGTCCTCTCAAGTTGGTGCCCTTGCTGCATTTCATGCTTAATAATGGAACAGGCGGCCGTCCTCTTGATTTAGCTTTGGGCGTCAATCTGGAAACTTCCTCTGTTCCAGCGTTTGCACAATTTGTGAAAGTGGAATCTAATGAATTCTGCAAGTTCGTCTCTGGAGACGAGCTCAATGAACTTGAAGAACCTAATAATATTGATGTCAAACCATGCTTTGAACTAGGATCAACTTCAATCCTTGTTGCAAAACCCATGGTAGATGTATTCAAAGAGCCACTTAAGCATGAAGTTTGTGACAATGTGGCAAGTTCATTTCCAGATTGAGAAATCCCTTTCTCTCCTTGGTGACAATCTACCTTTGTCAAACTCTGTGCTCTTCTTTGTAGCAAACTGCATGCCGCTTGACCAGTTTCAATGTGAGAGGAAGTGTTTTCATTGGCAACACCGCTTTGAAAAAGATTCGATGACCCAAAAAATGATGCAGAAAGAGAAGGCATGGACATATTCTCAACAATGTAGGTTGGAGAAGATAAATGTGAAAATTGAGATACACTTGGTGTGTACCCATTTGTATATACATCACAAGGTTTAGTCCCTTGTGAAGCAAGAAGAGACCAACTGTATCCTTGAGAAGGATACATGGAAAAGAGACATGTGCTGTCTGTGCACTTGTCCATAGATGTCAATGCATCCATTGTAGCTTGTGAAATGTCTGCGTCTCGAGTTGTGCAAGTCATGCTTGAGGAACATGATGCACCCTTTGTGGAAGATGTCATAACCAATGGATATTCATAGGACTGCGTTTGTCCCTCCATTATTGGTTTATCTTCATACATATTGTCTTTCTCAAACATTCGCTTCACCTCTGTTTGAGAACCTATCGTAGGCACATCTGATGTGGTAGACATTTCTGCCATCCTTCTTTCCATTTGATCAATGGGTGTAAACACATTCTGATGAGAGGGTTGTGCAAAAGAATTAGCATCTGATCCTGTGACATCACAGAGACCTGTTACAAGAGATGATGTGAAAGTGGAATCAGAAATAGGACCGGAAAGTAAAGGCAAATGCCCATGGTCCACAAAAGGACCAGAATCGATCTGAGATAAAATAAAATTTTTGCGAATGCCATTCTCAATTGACAAGTCGTCAATAATATCATCCACCTTTGAAAAAAATGAGCCATCACATTGAGCATAACATCCAATGTTTGACGTTATCAAACTGCCTTGGTCTGTGAATGTTAGTGTTTCTCTCTGAGAATTGCATGAGACATTTTTCAGAGTTGTTTGTCTTTGAGAGACAAACAGACCATTGTAATCATTGTGGTCTACTTGACCACAATTAACCTCCACAGAATCTGAAGCCTTCACTGAAGATCCAAAATTTGATCCTCCTTCAACTTTCAGTTCTGACTCATTACCTTGAAATGGTAATGAAAATGAGGAAAATTGTGTTGTCAAATTGCTGTGAAGCTCAGTGTTGTGCTTTTCCTGCCAAGTGGGACAGAGTTGTTCCACTTTCGAGGCAGGATAATCTGTGCAGAAAATCGATTCACTATCCTCAGTTGTAGCTCCAGATAAAAACATATCTGAAAGCTCCATAGTAAGCAAAGCTAAGCAATACTCGAATTGACATTGAATGGATTATTCATTGGAAGGATCCATGAAAGCTCCTTCGGTTCACCACATCCCCAAGCATGAAGTCGATTTAATATAGAGTTAATCCTGCACAATACATCCAAATTCATCGTTCAACACAAAAGAAAACGTAATGCAATTACACATAAGGTTGACTATTCACAAGATTATCCTCAAGTACAGTCCTGTGTGCAACCAACAAGTACACTTAGGAGTGAGTCCAAAAAACACCATGACAATTCATACGATGAGACACTCTTCCCTCTAGAAAATATCGAGTACGGAATATTAAATAAACTATCACACAAAATAATATGACAAAAGTCATTAAGACTACAAAAAAGATTCGATCAATTACAAACCAAGTTAATAAGTAGTGAAGTATACTTCAAAAGACCACAAAAACCTTTCTTTCTTCTCTCTCTTCTCTCTCTCGCTCCCTTTCACTCTCATTCATACACTCTCTTTGTCTAACCTTTTCTCTCTCTCTCTCTCTCTCTCTCTCTCTCTCTCTCTCTCTCTCTCTCTCTCTCTCTCTCTCTCTCTCTCTCTCTCTCTCTCTCTC